GAGGCCAAATTTTAACATCAGTGTAACTAGAACACACTTTTGAATTCTCCCAACTGCAAACCCTTCTGTAGGGTGTTTATACCTGCCTTTGAATTTCACCTCTGCCACATGGCTCTGGTCTTGGGCAGGTCGACTACCTTCTCTGAGTTATATATACTTTCCCCATATGCAAAATATAGACATACCTATTTTGAATGGTACCTGTGGGCATTGGCAGTAGAGATCATTTTTGTAAAGTATTTAGTATGGTGCTCTAAAAGGGGAGCTTTTATTGTTGGGGTGATTATAGCTGGTGGATAAATGGTGTGCTTGCTAAGTAAACATCTCTGAGGACAGTGAGGCTGGAGCTGATTGGAAAGGTAGGATCTGGGGTCCCTGTACAATTAATGATAACTATGAACATACTGGCTAATGAACCTTTTTAATGTTTCAGCTGAACTGTCCATCTTCAAGCCATCATGAACCCTAAGAACCGCAGATCACAGAAGGTCTCATCCGACATAAAGAATAACATGAAAATTGAGCACTACTTTTGTCCTCAGGTATGTTTGTAAATACTATTTATGGAATATACCAATATTAGACTTAGCAATCTTTGACACTAGCTTTCACAGTCTTCCTGTCAAGAAATTAGTTCATTGTGTGCAGAGAATATTAAATAAGTTAAAGTCTTTCTCATTTTCTTTTTTCCGTTTTGGGGATGGTGATGAGGAGGAGTTTTAACAAAAATCTTGGACATATCAAAGCAGTCTTTATCAAGAAACTATTGTAATACTTCCTGAACAGCAATGACAGAATCAAACATAAAGTACTGCAGTAAAATATGGAATAAAAGCAAAAGGGGTGTTATTTCATAACTTGAAAATCTATACCATGCAAATAATGGCTGATCTACTTGATAACATTAATAACCTACATTTGTAGAGTGTCTTACAGTTTACAAAACAATTTTTAAAGATTCCTTCTTACTGTAACCTTGTTAGGAGGCAGGGAGGATTGTATTATCCTCCATTTGTTTTTAAGGAGAAGAAGGGCATGAGTTGTTGCCTAAGGCAGTAGTGGGGTGAAGACTTGGACTTACGTTGACTGACACTAAGTAGGCTCTGTTATCATATCCCTTCCTGAGTCTAAAATCCTCTTTGAATTTATTAATGTTAAGAAGAAGGCTGAGGAATGGTGAGCATTTGAGAGTGCAACTTATAAGCCTTTGACTCTTGTTCTATCCTGGTTCTAACCAGAGCATCTGAGTATCTAGAAGAGCCAAGCCAAACTACTAATAGCTCTTTTCTCTGTCCTACTCCGTGACAGTGCAAGCTGATAACCATGTAATACCCCAGGTCCCCCTTTTTGAAAGTGTTTTTGTCTGCCCAAGAATCTTTTGACTCACTGAAAATCCATCATAGTGTTCCAATGCGCTGAACGACAGGGATGTTTCTGACAGCATTAGGCTGAAGGGATGCTCTCTGAGAGTTGGTATGTATGCCCAGAATAAATGTATGTTACCTTGTGTTCCTTTTCTTGATCCAGAATATTAGTGCCATTACAAAGAAGGAAAATAAAAGTTAGCCTACTAATGTGACAGTGATTGTGCTAGGCATTGTCACATATGATGTCACACAATCTTTACAACAATCCTGGTGTTGTTATTCCCATTACCAGCAAGTGGCATCTGTGGACACCCATGCCATGATGAATATAACTTGCAAAAATGTATCTTTTAGACATAGGAATCAGATGCTCTTAATTTTTTCTTGAATTTCTTCTATTTAATTAATCCTCCTTATGTAATTCCTCTCCCCTCCCCCATCCCTGGTTTTTAAGATGATGCTCTATAAAAATGGGAATCATTGATATAAATTTACAAAAAAAGAATATATCGTCTAATGGAAAACATATTGGACTAAGTAATGGAGTTCTGATACTCACCTGATGAATTGGTTATTATATAACCTTAAGAAAGGCATTTACAGGAAAGACTTTCTGTGCTTGCTTCTCCATCAAAAGAACAGAGACGCCATATTTGTTGCTCCTCATTTCATAGGATTTGGGGATTAATTGATATAATAGAGGAAATAATTTGAGTTCTATGTATGATAGATGCTGGGTGAATCCAGGTTTTATTATTAGAAATAACTACATTATTATGACCAAGTGATTAGTTATCTATTGGTGGTTTTGTTTAACATTTAATGCCTGATAATAAATCATGGTACCTTATTCTTGCTGAGTTTGGTGCTTTGAGAACAAATCTGTGGTGTGATGACGCATCACTGTGCTCAGAAACAGTAAAAATTATACAGCTGGAAATAATAAACAAGACCTGAAATAATACTGTAAGAGAGGTGGCAGAATTTTCAGTATCTCTGTTTTTGATGTACCTAGAAAACAGTTGTTTCTTTCCTCATATTTCTCGGAAAAATGCACCAGTATAGCAGTATCAAAAGATTATTTGACTGATGGGACAGAAAACTCAGTTTGTATTTTGGCTTCCAACTCAAACTCTGATTTAATCATATTCACAGGCCTTTGGAGATTGGTTCTGAGATTCTTATAGAAATTTTGTGAATTGCATCCTAAAAAGAGATGCAATGATAGACAAGGGTTGCATTTATACTTTTCCAATCTTTAACATTTCTTTTTAGGGCAATAAGGAACAACAGAATAATGCTAGTATTCCTCAAATGAAGAGAGGCTCTAAAAAAGGTCCAAAAGATATAACTAATACCCAGGCTCAAGGACCCAAAGACCAGGCTACATCCCAAAATAAGGTCATTCATGTTACCTTGGATGTACACCACAAGAAACACAAACAGATGAAATATATGCTCACATATACTGAGCAAGCTAGCTTATTCGAGGCACTCAACACCCTTGAGGCTGTCAAAGAAGAGATGGCAGCTCGGCAAGGCAAAGAAATGCTGGTGCGTGGCACAAAAGGAATTGAAGCGCACCTGAACCTTGGAATGCCCCTCAGCTGTTTTCCTGAAACCTGCCACCTGGTAATTACATTTGCCCATAGTAAATGTGAACAGAAAGAAGAGAACCAGATATTTGGCCGGCATGAGAAGTCATCCACTGACTGTGTCAAATTTTTTATTCATGCGATTGGGAAGAATCCAAAAAAGATTGTCAAACGCGGGGAACTTCACAAAGATGGCTTCAAACTCTGTGTCTATGCATTCAAAGGAGAAACCATCAAGGACGCTGTGTGCAAAGACGGCAGATTCCTCTCCTTACTGGAGAATGGTGATTGGAAACTCATCGGAAACCTGGACTCCATTGTAGAAAGCACCCAGCCAGTCGATGACTTAGAGGGCAAGCTCTTTCAGGTTGAGGTTGAGAAAAGAAGGCGTTCTCAGGCAGCAGCCGCTCAGAATCCTGAGTTAGAGAAAAGTAACACCAGTGTGTTAAAAGAAGCAATGGTGGACCAGTACCCCAGTTTGAAAAGAGAGAGTGAAAAAATTAGAGAAAACTTCAAGAAACAAATGAATAAAAGAAAGGGGAAAACTTCATTATATCAATTGCATCGAACAAACTTTGGGAAACTGACAAAAAACTCCACTCCAGTTAAAATGCACAGACTTCTTTGTCAGCTCGGTGACTCAGTTGGGTACATGTCATGGAACAACAATGGATATGAGGGTTCTGCCACCTGCTTCCTTTTTACAGGGTTGTTCGTTTTCACTTGTCGACATGTAATAAATGACATTGTGGGAGAAGGAATAGAGCCAAGTGAGTGGGCAGACATAATTGGACAATGTGTAAGGGTGACATTCGCTTACGAAGACAGCTCTAAAAAGGAAGAGAACTGCTTTTTTATTGAACCTTGGTTTGAGATATCTGATGTACATCTTGATTATGCTGTTTTGCAACTGAAGGAAAATGGACAGCAAGTACCTTTGGGACTATATAATGGAATTGGTCCTGTGCCACGTAGTGGGTTGATATATATTATTGGTCATCCATATGGAGAGGTAAAGTCTACTGATGGTTGTACTGTAATTCCTCAGGGAAAGCGATTAGAGAAATGTCAGGGACATGTTCAGGCTAGAAAAGCAGAGGGTTTCAAGGGTATGGAGTATATCCATATGCACACTCAAAGTAGTTTCCAGAAAATAATTCACAGGCCTGATGTGATTACCTATGACACCACCTTTTACTTTGGGTCTTCTGGCTCCCCAGTGTTTGATTCAAATGGTTCATTGGTAGCCATACACACTGCTGGCTTTGCCTATAAATACCAAATCGGGGATTCCAGTATCATTGAATTTGGCGCTACTATGAAATGCATCATGGATGATATTAAACAAAATTATCCGGAGTGGCATGAAAAAGTATGCATAACTCAGCAGGATGTAGAAATGGTGAGTGATGAGGACTGAGGACGGCGAGAATTCAGTCTATTTCCAAACTTTGAGATTACCTATGGAGTTGTTATTCCATAGGCCATGGTGACAGTTTTCTAAATCCCAAAATGGTTAATTACATTAATAATAATAATGATTCATATTATTGACCACTTCTTATGCATTAAGCACATGAAAAAACTTGTTATAACAACTCTATGCAGTGGACTATTATCCCTATTTTAAAGTCAAGCGAAGTAAAGCATGATAAGACTAAGTAATAATTCGTTTTATGACACAAGAAATAGTGTAACCATTGTTTTGGGCTTGTTGTTTGTTTTGGTTTTTCATCTTCCGTATCTTCTCAAGTTTAGTTGTTTGAAGGCAGGATCCAAGACTTGTTCATCTCATTATTTCCAATGTCTGGCACACAGGAAATAAGTGCTTAAAAAAATGTGTAGGTCAATCAGTAGCAAAATTTAGGACTACAGTTAATCTTTTTTTCTCACATTTTTGGGGGCCACATTGGTTAATAAGATTATATAAGTTTCAAGTACACAACCTAATTGCCGGACCTTCATATGTGTGTGTGTAATAAACAGCTCTTACTGGTGTCTCCAGTCCAGTCCATTACCACATGAACCACTCCAGTCTCCTCCATTGCTTATCTGTGAGCTCTTTCTCCAACAGTGAGAAACTTGACTCATGTCATTCCCCTCCTATTTACTTCATAGTTAAATTCCAGTATACACATATAGCAGTATCATAATTGTTCACCTGTACCAGGATGGCAAATAACTTTATCAACTACAGTGCAATGTTTATTTCCAATTTCTTTTGCCTTCAGTCTTACAGACTCATTCCTAAAGTTACTTAGGTCAGCACCTTTCCCCCCGCCTGCTTCTGTGAGTTCATTCTGTGTATTTGTAATATAGTTAGATTGTCTTTTCCCAGCCTGCATTCTTTCTTTTGACCTCCTAAATGATTTTTTTAAATTGCATACATTAAGATTCACTCTTCACGCTGGAAATTCTTTGGGTCATAAATGCATAGTGTGTATTCACCATTATAATATTATACAGAATTATTTCAGCATCCTAAAATTCCCCTGTGTTTCACCTACCTATCCCTCCCCTCTCCCCTGAACTCCTGGTGACTACTGATCTTTACACTGTCTTTATAATTTTGCTTTTTCCAGAATGTTATATAAGTGGAGTCACATAGTATGTAGCTTTTTCAGATTGACTTCTTTCACTTAGCAGTATGCAATTGAAGGTCCTCTGTGCTTTTTCATGGTTTGATAGCTCATTTCTTTTTATTGCTGAATAATATTCTATGATATGGTTATACCACAATTCGTTGATTCACTTACCTTTTGAAAGGTATCTTAGTTGCTTCCAATTTTTGGTAATTATAAATAAAGCCACTATTATCATTTGTGTGCAAATTCTTGTGTGAACATAAGTTTTCAACTCAGTTGGGTAGATACCAAGAAAGACGATGACTGGACTGTAGGGTAAAATTATGTTTAACTTTTTAAGTATCTGCCAACTTGGCCATACATTTTGCATTCCCACCAGCAATGGAGGAAAGTTCACATTGATTCATATCCTCACCAGCATTTTGTATTGCCAGTTTTTTGTGGGGTTTTTTTTTGACATCTTAATACTGTTGGGATGCATGATATTCTTCACAGGATTATGGGATTTATTCCTGAAACTGGGGCTGTCTTGTATGATCTAGTGTATGTATACATAGTTATGGTATCAGTCTAGATTCTATCAGGAGAAAAAAGCCACTGTAAAGAGTAAAGTAATTAGGAATCAGGTGAGTATAGGAGGATTAGGGCAAGAAAAGATCTGTTAGACTGTAGCCACAGGATGTTAGCTAAAGCACTGGAAGTGGGAGAGAAGGGGCTGATTGATGTGGGGAGTCTGAGAAGGTCCCACCTCTTACACCATGATGGTACAGCAGTAACTCACAGAGAGGTTGCAAAGTTGCTAGGTCAGACACAATCTACAAGTGAGAGCTTGTGGAGCTATTATTACACAGTCCTGCCTGATTGCCATGATCTTCCAGGAAATAATGCCTACCACTTCATTTCCACCTTTCAAGATTTTCTCATTGACAAATGCTGAGCCAGAACGCACAAGGATTCTGGGAAAAAATTGTGTCAGCTTTATAAGGAAGGGGTGGTGCCACTCAATTGACAATAGGTAACCAGCATATGCATACATACAATGCATCCTCATATACACAATCAGAAATTACCATTGTTAGATTGTAAATTGGTTCTTAGTATATAGCATATGTTATAACTTTAATTGGTTACTGCAAGTCCTCTGCACGCTTACTATGTCCTGTAAATAAATTATGCTACAAACAAATCCAATCACTAGGTGTTTTTGTTCAGCTGAGATATTCTTTCATGTTTAAGATCCGATGCCATCCCAGAGAAGTATCAAGTAAAAAATGAGGCTAAAATTTGACACAGGTACGGGAAAAAAACCCAGTTTCTTCCTGTTCCTTTGTGAAGCCCACTTCTTTTCTGTCTTTGCTTCTTTTCCACATGGGAGCTCCAGGTGAGCTCACAAAAGCTTTAAACACAACCTTCTGTTTCTCATTGTTACCTTTGTTTCTTTTTGCAAAACATGCATTTCCTTATTTTATCCCTTCCGGACTTTCAAGCCAAAACACCAACTCTTGTTTTCTGTCACACTCTCTCCCTATTAACACACTTTGAAGACAGCCAGAAAGAATTTTGAATTTCAGATTTTGGAAACTGGCCTCCCTGGAATGGACACCCAGTGTGCCCTGGGGGAATGACTCAAAATCCCTGAGCATTGGTGTCTTCTTACCTATATTTTCCCAATTATACAGCATGGTAAGCACTGTCATTAGTCCTTCACATATGTTAGCAGTGAATCCTCACATCAGCCCCATGAGATGGGAGCTTTCATCATCTGCATTTTACTGATGAGGAAACTGAGGCCCCAAGAGGTTAAGGAATTGACCAAGTGTGCACAGCTCTTGAGAACCAGCCCCTCTGACTTCAGGGTGCCTGCTCCTCACTCTCTTACACAGTCTCTCAAAATGTAAGTTGGAAATAAAAATGATTTGGGGAGAATTTAATTCAGTGCCCCAATGCCTTTTCTCCTCATCATTCAAACTCTTAAAGCAGTGATTTTATGAATTATCTTGATTTGGGTTGGATTCGGAGGTTTGCTTTGAGGTCTGATGAAGAACACATCTAATATTTTTTAGAGCTGTACATGGATTTAAGAGTGAGGGAGGGAAAAGGATGGGAAATTCTAAAGGTGGGAGAAAGTACAGTGGCTCTTTGGAACTTCTGACCACTGATGAAATCCATTGGTGTTTTATCTACCTTTCTACAGGCTTGCTTTCTTACTTCTTAATTGATATTCAGGAAAATGCACTCTTTTATTTTGTCATACTGTCTTATGAGTTTAACACATGAAGGACCTTGTTACCACCACTGCAGCACCAGCACCCCAAGAATCCCCCAAAGTTACTCTGTTGTCTGACCCTTCCCCCCGCCTAGTCCCTGACAACCCCTGGTCCTCTGTCTTATAGAGTCTTTTTATTCTTAGCTTTTTAGGACATCTTGATTTTCCTTCCATCTTTCAAAACACTCCTCTCTCTTCCTCTTCATTGTATCCAAATGTTCCCTTGGAGTCGCATCTTCAGCCCTCTTCACCCCTTATTCTCCACTTGGCAATCGCAGCTACAGCTTCCCTAGTACATCTCTGGATCACTCTATATTATTATTTTAGCCCTGATATCACTCGGTAGCACAAATACCCAATATCCCTTCAAACCGAACTTGTGAAAAACCCAGCCATGGAGACGCCCCCAGGCTCCGTGCCCAAATCTGCCTCTTTCCCGGTTTCTCTATTCTGTTCACAGCCCCACCATCCAAACAGCCATCCACACCAAAGTCTTTGGAAGAATTTTGGGTCCCTCATTTTCCTTCATCGCCCACATCTACACTGTCAACAAGTTGTGTTGAATTTATGGCTCTCCCCAAACACGAGCCCTCCTCTCCAGTTCTTCATTTCTTTCCATTCTCTTTCATCTCTTCCATCAATAACATGATCATGGTGGCTAACATTGATGCAATGCTTAATATTTAGAGTCATGCACAAACTTTAAACACATTTGAGCTTTTCCACAACCTCAGGAGGTAGGTATCGTCATCATCTCAATTTTACAGACGAGAAAATAAATCAACTAATGTGGAAGGTCACGCTGAGCAATGGAGTGGGTTTTGGACCACAGGTGTCTCGCTCCACAGCCCAAGGTAGAGCCCCAGAGCTCACCCAAGAGGCATCTGGAGCCTAGGGATCCATTCCAGGTCATCAGAGGCCCTAAACCCAATTCTGCCTCCCGGCTTCCCCGGGATAAAGCATCAGAAGGTGGGAAGGTCTGGCGCATTCTTCCTTCCCAGGCCATGCAAATTGCTGAAGGAACTGGGCAAGATCGGCGACCCCCACCTCCACGCCACTTGCCCCCAGCCCATTATAACTTGTTGAATTGAATGATCTTTATGGCACTTTTGAGCTCTGAGCTTCTGAAATCCAGAGAGGAGACCACAGACATAGGTGAATATTAACCAGGGTTCTTGTATTGGGGGGGAAATGTATTAATATTCAGGTAACATCACAGAAACACTTACAGAGGGTGTAGTAGGTTGAACTCTGTCCCCCCAAAAGATATTTCCAAGTCCTAGTTGCTAGTATCTGTGAATATGAATGTGACCTTTTTGCAGACAGAGGCTTTGCAGATGTAATTAAGTTAGGGATCTCTAGATGAGATCAANCTCCCTGTGTCCTGTGAACTCTTGCCACCTTGGTCTCTCAGCTCCATCTCCTCAAAGCAGGAATTCCAACAGGCCCTGCCACGCTGCCCCTCCTTGCACTCTGGCCTGTCTCTCAGTCTCTCCAGGTAGGCACCCCGAGTAACCACACGGCGCACTTCATTAAGTGTCATAAGGACACTTAACTGCTTGATGTCCAACTCCTTGCCAGCCACTGTTTCATATATTTTGCCCATTTTGTCTTCTTTTGTTTTCAGACTGAAGGGTAAATCCCAGTCCCTGTCACTCCATTTGGCACGAAATCTAAGGTAAAACCCGCCTTAATGTTCTTGTCTAGTAGTTCTGTCCTAACTGTCACTCCTGGATCTGTTCCTATTCATTGATTTCCCTCCTCATTATTGGCCATATTTTCCTGTTTCATTTATGCCTGATAATTTTTTTTTTCTGAGCGATCCTGCCACCTGTTGGCAGCTCAGCTTGGGTGGGGACTCGAACCGCTGTTGCTCGGAGCTCGCACTCTTGAGCGATCTCTTAACCAACTGAGCCACTCGGCCAGCCCTATGCCTGATAATTTTTGATTGGATATCGAGCTTTATTAGTCTCATATTTTGAGGGTGCTAGAAATGCTTATATTCCTATCCATATGCTCAAGGTTTCTTCTCACCCAGAGTTCCTCCCTTGGAAACAGTGTTATCGTTGCACGGCTGGATTTTCAAGTTTGTCAGGCGGCACTAGAGCAGCTGTCGGCCATGGCTCTTTTGTCCCACTGTGGAGGCA